GATGGTGGTGCACCAGCGGTGACGGTTCTCTCAGAGGAATTGGTTGACATGGTTGGCGTTTTACGATAGGGAGAGAGAAAAAAAAGGAGGATCAATATATGGCTTAGCTGATACCAGATGAGAAAGATTGATTCAATAATTCGGTTACAGAAATAGAGATAGAATACTAAAGGAGAGTTGTTACATGTGTACCTCTCCTAACTAATAGACTCTCCCTAGCTGACTATTCTAGCACCACACATTTATTACATTACAATACGATATAATAACATAATAATTACATACTTAAGAATGATGCATTTATGAGTTATGTGTGAAAACGAGGTAATATAAAGAATATAATATTCTTTTTAATATTTGATCAAAAGAATTAATGGACGGCTTATTGGTTGGTGATTTTAACTCGGGAGAATGGGTATCAGATGCCAAAAAAGAATCTATTCACAAACACATAATTTCAGTTCTTAACCGTTGAGCAAATGCCTATTTTTGACATTCCAAAACAGTTTAATAAATGGGGCCATGGGGGTTTTCCATAAGTTAATTAAAGGCTTGCTGGAAATGAGCAGAAGTTTAGGGCAAGTGGCAATCACTTATCGCGGAATCTCATTAATGGACTTCTTTTTTTAAGTTATTTATTATTCATTTTATATTACGACTTTTTGCGATTTTGGTATCTGGTACTTTAATAGTCACATACTCACATCAATTTTTTTTTTCTTTTTAAAAAATATATATACATCTTATATTTTTGTTACTGTGAAACTAGTTCAGGTTCAGCATGAATTGTACCCAAAGAATGTACCCAGTTATAATATGCAAATATGAGACGTTATTGAAGATTATTCGAACTCTTTTCATTTGATTTATATGTGCCGTTAGTTTTAATGGAGTTCATCGATTGTTAGGCGAAATTTCAAACTTAAATTAGCTTCTGTCTCTTTTACATCTTGAATGTTAAGGATTTAAAAAAAAAAAAAGTAATTTAAATGTGAGTTTACTTGTTTTCTATTTTTAAATGGTTGAATTTTCTTTGCAAATGCATGCCCAACTTTCATGTAACATTCCAAGTGCATGAACTTGATCGGTTGGCCTAAAGTAGTGTGTGAATATGATTTCAAACTTTTTCTAAAAATTAGGGAGTATGATTTTTGTACTTGAAGATCATGCGTTTAATTTTTGTCTAGATCTTCTTATTAGTTGTGGCACAATCTGAATCAATAACGATTGAATTTTATTATGTATGTAATAGAATGATGTGCGGTTTGAATTTTATTATGTATATAATAGAAGGATGGGTTTCGTCTCAACTAACAATTTAAATAGATAAATAAATTATACATTTATATTATATATATCTATATTATGTGTTTGGTAAGCCATACACTTCTTCCCTTTACTACTTTGCTTAAGTTTGTGCAAGATGAAGAGCTTATTTTTTTTTTTTTTTTAGTACGATTGACTCTGTTATAATGCAATATCTGTTCATCACTACTTTCTCAATTTACTGAAGTATACAGAGTCAATATCGTTTCCATTAAGGCACAAACCCATAATCACCTTTATATAGGAGAGTAATTTGGTGCCACTAGAACTACAAGTTCCTTGGCTGAAGAGCTTAATTAAGACAATTAAATTACCCATTGCATTGCATGGTCGTTCGCCGCCATGATATTAATAGCATATGGATTGCCGATCGCCAACTTCGGCCTAACCTTTGTGCCTCTATTTACGTATTTCTGAATTTTCAGCGTACTAGTCATGCCGGACTTTAATTTTGCCCAACGTTAGGCATGTTCAGTTGTATACATAAAATACAAAGCTTTCTGGATTTTGATTCTTGTCAATATCTCTTGATCAAATTTGTTATATAAAGATCTTTTTTTAATGTAGTTTTATCTCTTTTATTCGTTGATCCCATGACCTAGCCCACATGGGTCAACCCAAGTACAACTCACGGTTATTATGTCTAAGTTGGTACGACACAATCTTGTATATGAAAATGCGTTGGGTCATTTTTTATGTAATGTGAATTGAACCAGCACAACTCACATTTTAATTTGGACTAACATAATATGACCCACATTAGTCTCAATCCATGTGGGTTTGGATTGAGTTGACTCAACGTAACTTACTAAACATCACTAAAAAAGTTAATGTCTTGATTGCCATGACTTTTACCAGAAGTTGTAAATCATTTAAAGAAAATGGCAAACCAAACTAAAAGCATATGAACTTAATGAGGCTAAGATTGGGAATGAATGAGTCAATGAAAGATATATGAATGAACAAACCTAATTGAACGCAACTTCGTGCCGTGCTGCTTGTGTAATTACTATATTATATATTCTATTCCTCCTCTACGCGTCTGTATGTATATCCTTCATCTTTTCTATATTTGTTCTCCACCTTCAATAACTTACAAAATGCCTTCCAACCAATTAAATGCTCCAAAAAAGTTCATCTTTTAACTTCATCCACAAACTTTCTAATGCAAAGATTTCTGGCATTCTAGTTGATTATCCCACATTTTAATTGTAGATTTAATTAGGAGAGCAAAAACTTAATTTGAAGAAATATGTGCGCGAATTGCTAAAAGGAATCGCATATTGCTTTGAATTGGAGTTCAACACCTAAATATCTAGTTTTACCCTTCATTTTAACATCAACTTAACTTAACGCCAAAGCTAACGGAGGACCATTTTGACTTAAAATTCAAAAGTCGGAGGACCACTTTGGGTTTAGATAAACACCAACTTAACTTAACGCCAAAGCTAACAGATGACCATTTTGACTTAAAATTTAAAAGTCGAAGGACCATTTTGGGTTTAGATAAAATTTTTTAGGGAAAAGGTCAAATAGGCCATCGAACTTTAGCTTAAAAGTCAATTAGGCCCCTAAACTTTTTAAAGGTGCAATTACACCCATCAACAATTCATTTAGGTGCAATGAAGACCAAAAGCAAGTTAATGACCTGCTATCATAGGTCATTAGGGTTCAGGCCACCTTCCGGCGAATTTTTCGACCAAAAAAAATGTGACCAGCAACCGCCCAGATTTGTCGAAAATTTCGCCGGTCACTTCTTTTGTCGAAAATTTCGCCAGTCACTTTTTTTTTTTGCCGGAAAATTCGCCGGAATATATATATATATATATATATATATATATATATATATATATATATATATATATATATATATATATATATATATATATATTCTTTTGAATTAGATCGTTTTGAGCTTGGGAACCAAAACTGAAAAAATTCACTGTACTGTTGAATGAAAAAAAAAATTGTAAAAATAGTGCACCTTAAAAAAAACAACGCACCTTAAGAAGAAAAACAACTCACCTTAAGATGAAAACAAAGCACCTTAAGAAGGAAAACAATGCACCTTAAGAAGGAAAATCACGCAACTAAAGCTTTAGGTTAACACACCTTAAGAAGGAAAACCACGCACCTAAAGCTTTAGGCAGACGCACCTTAAGTTTCAACAACTGATGCACCTTATGCACACAAACCATGCACCTTAAGAAGGAAAATCATGCACTAAAAGCTTTAGACCGACGCACCTTAAGAAGGAAAACCATGCACCTAAAGCTTTAGGCTGACGCACCTTAAGTTTCAACAACTGACGCACCTTAAGCACATAAACTACGCACTTTAAGAAGAAAAACCAGCACCTAAAACTTTAGACCGACTCACTTAAGTTTCAACAATGCATCTTAAACACAAAAACCATGTACCTTAAGCACAAAAACCACGCACCTTAAATTTTACCTAGATGCAAAAATACCAAATTGCCACCGCATTTTTTTCTTTTTTAATTTTGTTAATCCTGAACGTTGATCTTGACAAGATCAATGGCTCTCATCTCACCCCACAACCGCACCTAAGCACACCATCCGCATTTGAACCGTATTCTAGGTATACATACATACATACATATATACATATATATATATATATATATATATATATATATATATATATATATATATATATATATATATAATTACATTCATGTAAAAACAGGGCTTAAAATACAAACGTGTGGACATTTCTAGATCGTTGGATTTTGGGTATCAAAGGTTGTGATTAGTTTTTATGATTTTGTGTGCTGCCCGCATGTGTGCACTGTTGTTCATGGACGTGTGCACGCCGGCCCAAATATTGTGAATTCACACATGCATACTATATTGGATGTGTGCATTGTCGTCCACGGATGTGTGCATTGTCGTCCACGGATGTGTGCACACCCGTATTTAGGTGTGTGCACGGTATATGTCCACATGTTTGTATTTTAAGGGTGTTTGCATGTGAATGCAACCCTATATATATATATATATATATATATATATATATATATATATATATATATATATATATATATATATAACCCAAAATGTGTTTTCAACTTTTTTGATTAATTTGGAAATGGTTTGAAACCTTTTTGAAAATTTGTGTTAGTTGTATTAGAAAATGATATAGAAATATTTTCAAAATAAGAAAACAATATTTTTCTAAAAATTTCATGCATTAATAATTTTAGAGTTTAAAAGTAATTAGGACAAAATTTAAATTTTATATGTCACAATTTTTACATGCCAAATATAGCGACTCCTTACCATTTTGATAAATGGTAACCTATTATATTATTATCTTATAAAAGGGAAATGAAAAATTAAAAGCCAATAAATTAATAATGCTTGTTTGGCTACGTAGACCAGAGGTAAATATAGTATGTTTTGAAAAGTTCATATAATTCTTTTTAAAATAAGAAAAGAATAAAATATTACTACTTCCGTATCTTTTATGTAATTCAAAGAATATATTATTTGAGTCAAGTTATGAAAAAGGGTAGGGGATGTAATTGATATTAAAAGGAAATCCGTGGGTAAATCCGTCAATTACTAAGAGTCGAGGAGACAGAGAAGCGGTTGTATATGGAAAGTGCGCGTCCTGGTGGTTTATTTATATATATAGAGAAAGCCGAAAGAGAGAGACTCTGGCTGGAGGCACTCCGACTATGATCATGCGTGGAAGCAGAGACTGGACATGACGATCTCCTGTCAAACCTCTCCTCTCTTCGTTTCTTTCGTGTCGCTCCGCTCCTCTTTGTAAACCCTAGCATATCGGATTCCTGTCTTAAGAATCACGTACCGTTCCTCAGGTTCAATTTCGATTCCTCATCACCTGCATTATAAATGTGTTTTCACGATTCCTGTGGTTTTTTTAATTTCTGATTTGGATTTCGAGGTTTCTGCATTTGCATGCGTTTTGTTTCTGAGTGTGTGTGTGTTTTTTTTTGTTCCGTTCTTCATTTTTTGATTTTTTGTGTTGTGAATTGCGATACAGAATGGCGGTGGAGGTGACGAAGCTGTTGTACATACTGGTGGTAGACGGAGAGGAGGGGAGGAGGGAGGGAAGCAAAGAGACTGATATTGAAAAAATTAGAGAGAAAGATAAGGACGCCTTTCGATATACTCGTTCGGTTCTGCAGAGTACTCTGCAGCTCATGGGATGCAAATCCAGACACGCGTTTAAGGTATATATATATATATATATATATATAATTTTGTTTCTAGAAAAATAAACTCAAAATTGTTTTTCTGCGATAAGCAGTGTTAATTTAATCTGTTTTCCTTTGCTTGCTGGTCTTGTGTGCTTTGCCTTACGATTCATGGTTGTGAAATGATGACTGCACCTTGTAGTAGTTTCTATCAGTTATGAGAACTCCACAAGGACTCATGATAGAAAGAGCTTATTAGGCTTTGATGTCTTGGTTTCCTGGTGTTAGTTGTCTTTTTAATAATGCTATCTCTCTTCAAGAAGTAGGATCAATAGTTCATTTCTTCTTTGCCTTCATTACTATTTCTTCAGTGTTGATTTCTTTTCCATGAATGCTTCTGTTCATTGAAGTTGTATAAATTTCTTTTCCATGAATGTTTTTTGCAAAGTTAGTTATTGCTTATTCAACTTTACATTAGTGATTTTAGAGTCAAGTTCAGATTCTTATGTTATTTCCTCCTAAGAGTTGACAGTGAATCTAGTTTTTACAAAACACTTTTTTTTTTTTTTTTTTTTTTTTTTTTGTTTCTGTTTCTAATTTATTTGTAAAATAAATGATCTCATCATGGATGAAAGTTTTTTCTTTTTCTTTTTTAGAAATTTATATGTGATCTTTTTCCTGGATTTATGATAAAAGTTAACTTTTATGTATTTCTTGCTGGAATTGTAACATTAACATAGTCAACAATTTAATTTAGCATTTTAAAGCATTAGTATTGTGGATGATATTATCCACATGCCTACCTCTTGATATTTTGATCTTTTTATTTTTCCTCTGATTTGCTGTGGTTCTCTACTTCTCTTTAAAAAGATTGCAGAACATGGCATATCTGGACTCATATTTTGTTTGAATTGAATGTTCAATTATTATTATTAGTATTATTATTTATTTATTTTTTTTTTTAATCTCTACTTGCACATTTGAATAAGATCTTCAAACAAGTTACACATTGCACATTAACTGCTTTCTAATTTTTCAATTGAATTTCCATTTTATAAATTGATTGCATATTGTGGTTTGGGCATTAAAAAAACAGGGTTACTTTTCTTTTCTAGAAATCTCAGCAAGTGGCTGTAGAGTTGTTGCTATTCGATCAATTACTTCTTTGGACTGCTAAATAAAAGATACCTTCATGATTTTATTAATATATTGATGCCCATCCATTTTAACTTTATTGATTATTGATGTTGATTTGATTCTTTTGTTAGAAGCGGAACAGTGTTTGGGTTTCATCAAACGCTTAGTAATTAGAACTATAAGGCATAGAGGGGAGAAAATTATTTGAGATTAATGATTAATCAGAACAAATAGGTATAGATGTAGCAAATTAAATGGAATTGGGCACTTTATCCACTCCATGTATGGAATTGATATTCACATATATGGTGAATATAAATATAATATAATCTAAAAATAAGCCTCTATACTTTATTTTTGTTTCTATCTTTGTTATAAGAATGGCTAGATTTATCTCTTTTTTTCTTTTTTTCTACCATACTATCTATCTGTTGCTCTATAATTTCACTTCCTTCTATAAAGTACTTATTTATTTATTTTGTATTTTTGGTTTACTATTTTACTGAAAATTATTTTTCTGATCAGATCAGCCGAAGGGTGTTCGAGAAGATTAGAAATGTATGTGCTGGCGAAAGTTCAGTTTCAGTGTGTACAGAGACATTAGAGCAGGATAACCTAAATACATTTCAGGAAGAGGATTATAATTATTTTGCTGCAAGCTTGGATAAACAAGATGATAGAAGCAAGAGCATACCATTTGAGTTATATAAAAAGCGCACGACTGTGGTAGTTAGAAGACACACTTTTCTAGATGTTATATGTGATGCTCTGGCTGAATATAATTATGTGGGCCTCAATCAGAGGGCTGATCTTACTATAGCTTGCAGGTAAGCTAGTTGATCATGCACATTTAGATAATTTCCATAATTATGACACATGCATGTGATTGTTGCTATATCTAAGAGTTTCTGTTTCTTTTGTGTTCCATTAGCTTTGTGTATCAAATAAATGAGAAAAATTAATGCTAGATCAGGTTGATCCTACATGCACCAAAACAACACATCTAGATTACCATGAGTGGCCAGTATTATGATTTTTGGTTAGTTACAGTTGGTGCCAGTCTCATATTGATTTGGTTGCCAGCAATCTTGGCGTGGCACTTTTTAGTTTTTTTAAAAAATTATTCCTTATTGTTGTTGTGGCCTTTTTGGTAATTACTATATTTATTGACTTGTGATTATGAACCAGCGATATGGAATCTGTTTTTTCTCCATTCATTCTTTCTTCATTTATAGGTATTTCAGTGGTAGTTATTAGTTTTTTTTCAACAACATTCTTCAGGTTACGAGAAAGAAGGGAATCCATAACTGTGCTACTTTGTGGGACAAGTGGCTGTGGAAAATCTACTTTGTCTGCATTGCTGGTATGATTGTACCATTTATTCTCAAGGAACTAGATTTTATTCACTTTTGTATTTCTCTTATTATTATATTGCTCTTCTTTGAAGGTGGGTTGGCATTTTGAATTGTTATTATTAATTATATATTACTATAACTTGCTATGCTTTGCTGACTGTTAAACCACTTGATGCCTTTAGTCTGCTGTGCATGGTTTTCCAACCAAAATTTGATCTGTTTATACATATTTACATGTTAAAAATAACCAACCAAGATATTACTAGAGTTTAAAGTATCTATATTGTTTTAATTACAACTGATGAAAATGAATTATCTGTTAGTCCATTTCCCAACCTTTTGCCAGGTGTCTGTATTTTGCAGTTATAAACATGCAAAACTGCACTTTGTTTTTCCTTGCAGCATGGTTTCTGGGTTGTACTTTGAGATCTCAATTGCAGTATATTAGTTTTGAAACAATTTATTGTCCTCTCTTTGTTTCAGTTATATTATCAAACCTGTTGTTGAATAATCTCTACAGGGCAGCAGGTTGGGAATCACAACTGTTATATCCACTGACTCCATTAGGCATATGATGAGGAGCTTTGTGGATGAAAAGGAAAACCCTCTGCTTTGGGCTTCAACTTACCATGCTGGGGAGCATTTAGATCCATTAGCAGTTGCTGAGGCAAAGGCTAAGAGAAAAGCAAAGAAGTTAGCTGGTTATTCTACCCCAGTGCCCCAAAAGGATTCTGCTGCTAATCATATGACAATTGGAAAATATCCTCAGGAGGGGAATGCTAGTACTTTCAAGTTGATCAGTCCAAAACAAATGGCAATTGAAGGATTTAAGGCTCAAAGTGAGATGGTTATTGATAGTCTTGACAGATTAATCACTACATGGGAAGAGCGTAAAGAATCAGTTGTTGTTGAGGGTGTTCATTTGAGTCTTAATTTCGTGGTATGAATTTTACATCTAATCTTATGCCTGAAAGTTCTCCTTACTTCTAGTGTGCTATTCTTATGGATTTGATTGCAAACTCTGTTTTACCTTGCAGATGGGACTAATGAAAAAACATCCTTCAATAATACCTTTCATGATTTATATTGCAAATGAAGAAAAGCATTTGGAACGGTTTGCAGTCCGTGCAAAATACATGACACTAGATCCAGCTAAAAATAAGTATGTTAAATATATACGAAACATCAGGACAATACAAGAATATCTCTGCAATCGTGCTGACAAGCATCTGGTGCCGAAGGTTAACAACACTAATGTTGATAGAAGTGTGGCAGCTATTCATGCCACAACATTCAGTTGCTTACAGAGGAGGCATGAGGCAGGAGAGAAGCTTTATGATCCCTCCACGAACACAGTTTCTGTTATTAATGAGGAATACCGGAATTACCGTGCTACTTATTCCTTGAGCTCTAAGGGTATGTTTCAAATGCTTCAAAGAAATGATTCTTCTAGGCATTTGATGGCTCTTCTCAATAATGATGGATCCGTAGCAAAGGCTTGGCCAGTATACTCATTAGATATCAATGGCAAACCTGTTATGGACCATTCCTTTAAGAATGGGATAAGGGGTCCTATATATGGACCATTGCAAATTCGGAAGGCTGAAACTGTCAATCTGCAGTTTGGCTACTTTGGGATCAGAGATTGGCTGAGTGATACTGGTTGTACAAGCCGTGCTAGTAGTGTGGATGAATCAAGGGGGGAGCTGACAGACAATTGCAGTAGGTATCATTCATCCTGTTGCAGTTCACCAAGGTTCTGTGAAGGACCTTCCAAGGAGGTCAGTTTGACTTAAACACACACACATGTGTACAATGTGTGCCAAGCGTATCTAGTTTGAAACCTCTAGTTAGTATGTAGTCATTGAGGTTCATTTGCCTGTCATTTTGCCATTTTGTGCTTCTATTAAGTAAAAGGCAGCCCCAAAACTTGGAATTTTTCATTTTTTTTTTTCACTCTGTTGCATGTATTTTTCTTCTTACAGCTCAAAGAGGAACAATCTGTGCATGGTAGTGATGAAGAGATTGATGAGCTACCTGATATAGACAGTGATGAGGACTTTGGGGAGGATTTCAAACATAATCATGAAGAGGTATGTATGCATGCATGCATTTGGTCATTCTCTTTTCCATTTTTGGGATGGGAAAGATGGGATTCAGACCTAGGCAAAATACCTAAGAGGGCTTAGCCTACCACTAGGCTAAACCAAGAACCCCTTAAATGTGTTAAATCAATATCAGATGCTTTGGAGTTCTTTATTGTTGAGTTGGCAAGTTTCCGGCATCAATCTCAGTTCCACTAACAAGAATGTAGTGGTGAACCATGGATACCTTGATTACCTTCTACTTGTATATGTAATGATACATATGGAGCAAGCATTCTGTGGTTGTGGCACCAATTATATTTGATATATCTATGACCAGTTTGATTCTTCCCCTTTTTGGATAGCAGTTTTCAAGATTTTGATTTTACTGAATTGAGGTGTTATTACTGTTGTTGTTGTTGTGGGTGCTCATTTTATTTTATTTGCCTTCAGCTGGAAGGGTCAGTGGACGAGGAGTCTACGAAATCAGACGAGGAGTATGATGATCTTGCTATGCAGGATTTTCAACAGAGTGGTTACTGTTCTGATGATGATGAAGAATCCATGAATAAGTTTGAGTTGAGTAATAAGGTTGTACCGGTGTCAGGGGACTTGATATCTGAGGAAGCTATCAACTTTGATGAAATCTACCAACAAAAGCTTGGTCTGTTCTTCAGAAGCGACGGTGACGCAGGTTTGGGACCATCACAGCTCTGCTATTCTTCTTTCCTGGGCAATAACAGAAGCATAAGGCGTTCTCAGAGCATGGAAAAGTCTGAGAGTGTTGCAAAGGTCTTATGAGTTTTTCCCCTTCAGTATTTTCCATTTACTCCTTTTAAATATGTTTTTCATTTTATGTTTTATCTTTAGTTTTTGCCTATTATTCCTTACTTTTCTTGGCGGCTAGTGAAAGGGGTATAACCTCTTTCTTTTTAGTTTTTAGTTTTTAGGATAGCGGTGCATCCAGTGGTGTTACTCTTTGTAATTGGTGCACGCTCAGTGATCTCAAAAACGATTGTTAAAACTGTGTACTTATTTATTTTCAATTTTGATCGTTCACTAGGATGTGTATTTTATACTTCAACTCACATTTTTTTAACAACACCGGTATCAAACTATCAACAACTAATCTGTCATCCAATCATGGTTGAGAAAAAATTGCTAGGCACTCTTCGGGGCGCCTAGGCAACGATTAATCGGTGTTTAGGCACCAGTGTATTTTTTTTTTTTTTTAAATTGTTAAAAAAAATTTAATAATTATAAACTATTTAATACTTTAATAATTAATACTAAAATATTAAATATCAACCTAAAAAATCTAGTATTTGAACAATTTAAGATTATTTCGCTCAAAACATTGTCGTTTTGAGTGAAATAACCCATTTAACAATGGAGTAGCTAATCGGCCGACTAGGCCTCCTAGTTTGGTGCCTAGGCGATGCTTAGGTAGCCTAACTGGCCAACCGCCTAGACCACCGATAATGGTGATATGCTAGACGGCCGACCAGCGCCTAGCGCCTAGGTACCAATTAATCGGTGCCTAGGCGGGATTTTTGCAACTCTGCATCCAATATATATATACAGGAAAAGAAAAATTAAACAAAATTTATGCCTAAATTAATCAGAAATTGCTTTATCTAAAATGGACCATAATATGCAATGGCATGCCCTTGGAAGATAACACCAGCACTCACTCACAACTGAAGATGTAATGGTACATCAAATGTAATTTCTCCACCAGTCCAAAGCCTCTTTCAACATCTGCACCTCTCCTGGCTTCCTCCTATGAAACATTCTTTAGGTTGTCTTCCCTCAGTTTTTTCCTTGCCATATCTATTTTAGTCATTCCTTCCTGTGTGGATTAGCCAAGCAACCAACACATCTGTTGCCTCCCTGGCAAACATGTTTGAATGTTTGATTCCTATTACCCATCTTCAACTCCACTATCATATGAATAATTTTCTTATCTTAGCCCAGAAAATGAATCCCAAAACATTGTAACGACTCAATATCAAACCCAACTTTGTTTTGTTGAATATCAGGCTTCCTCAGCGCTTCTAAACAACCAACCTTTCTGACGTTTCTGTAAGCATCAAGCTCCAGCTCAATACGGCAGCTGAAAGATTTAGTATTGACTATGCCCAAGAGTGTTGATTTCCATTTTGTTCAGAAACTGGTCAGTTTCTTTTAAATTCTTCGTTCCATGACCATTCTGCAAAGCACATCCCAGTTTTATGCATTCTCTTATCTGTCCCCTAGCCAACTTCATTTACAATGTCTATACCTACATTTTCATCATCAACTCCCTCAATTTGTATCTCATCTTTATATACATGAGCTTCCTCGGGGAGTCCATCGCCTACTATACCACTTCGATCAGAAGAACAGCCGAAATCTTTTCTTTCATTAATGGAAACCACCTCTTCAAGTGCTAAGTTTCTTGTTAAGTTAGCCAGTGGAATAGAACTTAACTCCTCTTTGGAGACACCCCTTTTGATTAGAGTAGTTAGTTTCGATCTTGCCTCTTCACTTCGGTTCAACTTACACAACCCACCAATTACCTTCTCATACACACACAAATCGGGAACAAATCCTTTCTTCTCCATAAAATCTAGCAAACTAGCTGCTTCCTCGATCACTCCCTCCTCCAAATAACGGTCAATTAAGGTGTCTAACATAACTTGGTCCAACTCAAATCCCTTACCCTGCATTATGTCTACAAGTTCATTGACCACATCAAACTGGCCGACCTTACAAAGTCCACTAAACAAACACCAATACGTATCCGTGTTTAAACAAATGTTTCTCTCGTTCATCACGGAAACTAAAGAAAATGCCTTTTCCACGTTACCCAATCTACAATACCCGTTTATAACTAAATTATATAAATAAGTATCCACCTTAAAGCCCTTATCATGCATCTCCCAAATCATTCTCTCGCCATCTTCCATTCTCCCACTACTCGAAAACCCATCAATCAAGAATCTATATGTGTCGTCGATAAACTCCACGCCTTCGCACTGCATCAACACCAATACGTTATACAGTTCTTCGAAATCCCATCTCTTAGTGCACGCATCCACTAGTGTATTAAAGGTAATAATATTTGGTTTTATCCCTTTACTACCCATCTCCTCCACCACCTCTCTAGCCCTCTTTACTTCCCCACATTTACACAATCCATCCACCACCACTGTCAAAGAATACACAGAGACCTCAATACCCGACTCGACCATCCAGTAAAAGAATTTTAGTCCCAAACTACATTGATCACATTTCATAAGCTCAATCAAATGAACAGTACAGGTCCTCTCATTGATCTCAATACCATTATTTCTCATATAATCAAATATCTCCAAAGCCTTCCCAAATTCTCGATTATCAGAGTAAGCTTTAAGCAACCAATTAAACACTTTGGAGGCTATTCTCAACGAAACATCATGGCTCTCAATGAAAGAAGCTAAAACGGTATACCTGAAGTTCTCAAGACTTGAAAGGGCACCCAAAAGTGCCTCAGCATCCGCAAACTCTTTGGCTTTCGCTAGCCTGCAGACAAGAGTTAAATGGGCATCGAAATTGAGATCAAACGACACCAAAGATTGGTTTTTTATGAGGAAACCCACGAATTCAATGCACTTGGGAGTCTCCAGATGCGGGTCGGAGATAATAAGGTGGACAAGATTAGGGGTGAGCTTGGAGAGAAGGGTGGTGGTATGGTGGGCGCTTAAGACTGTGTTGATGATGGCGTCTCCTATCTTGGCTCTGCGATGTATGGAGAAGTTTGGGAGATTACGACATCTTTTGACAGTGTTGAGGTTTTGAAGGAGCTTCTGGAGTGACATTCAGATTTCTCGGAGATCGGGGAAGAAGAAGATGTTCTGTTGGAACATTGTTTTCATTCACTTTATTTGGGCCTTCCTCATAGCCTAATTCTTATTTACGCTTTTGGAAGTAGTCCATTAATGGACCTCTCGATTAACAAAGCCCACATTTGGGGTCCAATGCTAGAAAATGAGTTACCTAATTAATACTCGTAAGGTATATAATTTCATAATACAAGACACAAAAATTTATAATACAAGACACATACACATGTTATATATTTATTTACTTTTTAAATTCGAATTAGGTACATAATTTGAGTTTATTATAGACACAAAATTTTGCAATACAAGACACAAGAATTCATAACATAAAACACGATTACTAATTTGTTTCAAGTACAAAATTCATATTCTTAAGGTACGTAATTTCATAACACAACACACAAAAACTCACAACATAAGACACATACACATGCACCAGAATCCACAGTGCGTTGTGAACCCTAGTCCATGGTATAAGGATTGCACATTTAGCCATAACCTTTAAATTGCGATTATACCGCTGACCACTGAAATAAAGTTGATTTTCAGTATATTGAATTTTTATGTTTTGGAAGTTTATTTTTAATGCACTGAAGATTCATTTTTAAGTATATAAAATCAACATTTATCAATAATCAACATTACATTTATCAAATTGCACAAATATCCAAGAACGTGAGAGAAAGAAAATCACGAGCCGTCCAATCAATTCTCAATGACCACATGAGTATGTCTCCAATGGGAGTTAACCCACCATATTGTTGGAGTAAGACTTAAAGGGTGGTTGGAATGTTGTCCCTCTGCCCCTAGGTGTTTAGTGTAGTTAGTTCATCGCATGATTTAAATGTCATAACTGGAGTTGATAGTATGGATGTTCGAATCCTATTGAAAACATGTATAGAGAAAATGGTTCAAAATACTGAAATGTTAAGATTAGATTTCTTGTGTGCACAAAAATTAAGATATAATCAGTGAGCTATTTATTTATGTGATTTCCGAGTCCGACCAAACTACAATTACGTAATATAAATAAATAAATAAATAAATAAATAAAACTTTCAAAATGACCTTCGAAAACTAAAGCCCGCAGGCAACTCCCAATATTTGATAATAACCCCTATAATTATAAGAGAAAAGGGTTATTTTGTCATTAGCGACTTGCGATCTTCATATTCAGGCTCAGTAATTCCGTATTTCGCCCACTTTATTATTCATATAAAAAAGGGAAATAAATAAAGGAAAAAAAAATACATTATTAATTCGTGTGTTTTTGGACTCCTTGGATTGAGGTGGCGTTATCTGTCAGGTAAGAAACGCCATTTTTTCTGCTCATTTTTGTAATTCTTGTTTTTCTTCACTTTACCCCCGCCCGTGTTTTCGTGTTGTTTGTAAAGGTGGCAACTTGCCTGCTTTCTGCTTGTTTTGCTCCTCTGATCTTTTACCCCCTTGAAGATACATTGCTGTTTTTTCTGTTTATTTATCAAAGAGTTTCATTGGATACGTAATTTACTGATTTGATTTTAGTTTAATCCCTTTTGTTTTTGTGCTGGATTTAACTTAATACTTCTCTGGTTTGCTGCACTTTTTGAGGACCATAATTGACTGAGCATTGATTTTTATGTGGATCCCGGGATACCGTGGCTGCTGTTGATTTGTGATTGAAGAGCCATGGCTTAACTAAATTAGGTTTTTTATTTTTTTCTGCATTCTTAGTTTTCTTGCATCCAAAGATGTGTTCTTTCTGTGTTTGAATTTGTAGGGGAAATCAATGTATATACATGATGAAATTATGTATGCTATCTCTACAAGAATATATAGCATTGTTTTGTTGAAAATCATGCTATTTGTTGTGCCTTTTTTCTGTGTGTTTTAGTTGTTCTTGAGTGTACTGGGAATTCCCTTTTTTTATTGACTTCAAAAAATTGGACCCTTTTGGTACATTAGTACCTTTTGGATGAAAAATTAGAACAAGCAAAGTTTGGAGGGTTTTCATTGTTAGATTAGAAAGATCTACTGTCATTGAAGCTTCATTCACATTGGAAAGGTAGTAGTGAATTTATCTAAAATTATTGATAAAATGATAATTCTTTTAAGTCTAAGGGTTTGCTTGTTGCAGGATTGTAGATCCGTGTTGGAATTTTAAATTTTATATTAGTTATCAGATGGAATTGTTGCTCATTAGTAGGTTCGGAAAGAGTTCACACTATTTTCTGTCTAAATCTACAAAAAATAATCTAAAGACTTGATAAAAAGTGCCCAAATCATTAAAATTGGAGGACTAATTTTGTCCAATTTTAAGTTGAAAGCCAAAGGAATACCACTATACTTGAGGGGATGTAAATATGTTATTGAAATTAACTCGGTACTTTTTAATGTTTGAATTTTGGTAAGTAAAAATTAGAGGTGGTAAGATCGTCTACTAAATGTGTCTTGATTTCTTAAGCTTGGCGATTGACTTATACTAAGTGCTAATGAACGGCTGTGATGTTGTTGGTTATTGTGAACTTCACTTACTATCTCTTATAACTTTAACCGAATGCAAGGATTGATAACAGATGGCGTAAGAAAGTAGTATCCTGATTTCTTGCCATATTATGTTGCTTTTGTAACGCATACGTTATTGTAATATCTTCCTAATTTAGAAAAGAAAAGCTAGCATAACATCATAGCATGACCATCACGGGGTATATGTGGCCTCGATAGGCACTTGTCTTTTGAGATTGTAGGTGTAGAAACGTGTCCTCTTAATATTTTGCGTGGAAGATTGATGACGTGCCTTAGTGGTTCACTTACTTCTATAAGTTGTTTTCTCCTTCGAATGATATTCTATGCCTTAGGGATGAAAATAACTTATTGGGGAGTTTGTGGAAGATGAAGTTGTAAGACGATCGGTCCCAGTGTGTTGATTCTTGAATCATCAATTCTCGGTAAGGTGATTGATTCTGTTACATTCAACATTTTGCTTGTCTGAAGTTTCTTCACTCTCTGTGGATTGTGCATTTGGGTTGGATATGCTTCAGATTGATTCTTAATTTTGATTTTTGCGATTTGTAAATGTATTTCTTGATTATGCTATTCTATCTCTTGTAAATGGCATCGTTTTACAATCATTCTGGATAATCTGTGTCGTCCTTTCTAAACAAGCTTTATAACTTGAATATGTTTCTTTAAGCTATTCTGAATGATCTGAAGAAGGATAACATTATATATTCATTTTCATGCTATTCCATTCTAACGAACTTTTCATCGTTGGCTAGTCTTTCTACTGTTCTTCAGAATGAATCCTCAATATGGTGAAGCAAGTAGAAAGCGTCGGGTAAGTCAGGTGGGATTTGAAGGTCCGATATCACCTGATTCGAGTTACAACAATGCATACCCTGCCTACGAAGACGATGGGCGAGAACCACCTCTACTTCCCCCGCAACTCCACATGGCGGTGCTAAACCACCACCAAACGAACAGAGATGAATCTGCAACCACCCTCCCGTCGCCAGGGCACGTGACTGTAAATCATCTCTACACCGATACCTATAGCAGAGAAGCAGCAGCAGAAGTGGTGGCACTGTCAACTACACAGCGGTTTCACACAAAATACGTTACGGTCGTGCTTTACAAACCATCCCCGAGGCGGGGCAGTGGGTGAGATGCTTGGTGTAAATGCAGCAGCAGTAAATATACAGAAACTGAGTGAAAAGTGTTGGGTTTATTTCTCAGGATGTGGACCATGTGGTAAAGAAACTAGTGATGCATCTTCCTTGAACTTGTGCTTTGTGTGATGTGCATATACCTTTAAGCTTTTCAGTTTTTTTTTTTTTTGGCTTTGCTTGAAAAAAGTGAGATTTTTACTATATTTCAAGAAAAAAAAGTATATTGTACATTGTACAATCATAGCGAGCACAACAATGATAATTGTAATGGTGTCGGAAATGTATTTTGTACTTGATAAAATTATATTTCTTTTCATATTTATGATTGTCAAAACGTATGATACAATTCTTTTCAAACATGTAACACAATAAAATTTTCAAAAGTTATGTTTCAAACTACTTTTGTAGCCTCACACAAATTAGAAACAGGATTTTTTTGAGGGGTCTTGTGAAGTAGATGAGAGAAAAGAGAAGAGGTGCTTTGCAAAGTGAATATTTTTTTGCTTGTAGATTTACTTGCTAGGGTCTATTTCTTGAGGTGAGCGCTTCCACACAATCGATATATCATGAATTAGGGTTCACTGTGCACTATGGATCTTGGTTCATGTGTTTATGTTTTGTATTATGACTATTTGTATCTTGCGTTATTGTGAAATTTTGTGCCCATAAACACAAATTATGTAACTAAATCAGATTTGAAAAATAAAAAATATATATAACATGTGTATGTGTACTGTGTTTTGTATTATGAAATTATGTACCTTACGAGTATCAATTATGTACATTGTCTTTTCAATCCAGATGGGTCCATAATGTTATGCTATGTCTTGTGTTGTAATTTTTTGTGTTTTGTGTTATGAAATTTGGTACCTCTTTGTTTCAATCCATGGTTTATAATACTATGTGGACCTTGATCCATGATGTAAATTGCCGCGTCCACGCCTATAAACTCAAGTGTTAAAAAAATACTAATAAAAAAATATTTTTAGGAGCAATTGTAGGCAAATTATATCGTGCACCACGGTGCATAATCGATTATGCACCAAGTTTCAAAACAACGTCGTTTTGTTTAATGAAAAGAAACGTCATCCGTTCTGCAAAAATTAACTTTGTTACTACATGATCATTTCGATATAACTACAGCTTCAGTACTTGTTCATAACTACTTATTAAATTAAAAAATAATTTAGTAGTTACAACAAAAAATAATACATATGCATTTCTTTAATTTAGAATTATGTGTCTACAATGTCTTTATTAAAAAAATTATTCATTATCAATAAATTAAATGAGATAAATAATTTCATTAGTTATATTGTCTTTATTTTTCTCCACTATAATTTTTTTTTTTTTTTTTTACATTCAAATTCATCAATTGATTATATTCACTACATTGTCCATACAATGTCTTTATTCAAAAAAAAAAAAAAAGTATTCATTATCAATAATCTAATTAAGAGAAATAATTTCATTAGTTATATTGTCTTTATTTTTCTCAAATGTAAAAATTCTTTACATTCAAATTCATCAATTGATTATATTCACTACATTGGCTATTATCTTTTTTTACACTATTTTTTAATTAAATATCAAAATTAATACAAAATAATGTTATATATTTATTTACCAAGTATGTTATTAATACCATGAAAAAAAAAATATATATATATATATATATATATATATAATTAATTAATTAATAAAGCCAATCATATTAACTATTTGAGGGAATTTGTTGACAAAGAGAGTATTCAAATCACACAACAAATTGAAGTTGGAAACTACCTCGCAATGTCCTTGTTTGACAATCAGCAGTTAGCGGTTAGCGTTAGCGGATTTGACCAGCGAATTATATCAATGGTGGATAAAAAGATATTTGAAAAAATTAACTGTTTAGATTAACATGTAAAATGACCTAAGGGTATTATAATAATAATAATAATAATAATAATAATAATAATAATTTAATAAAAGAAATCAAATTAAAAAAAAAAAAAAACATATGGGGAGCCAAACGTTCGGCTCCCCTTAGTTTTGTCACTTTTCCCACATCAGTGGACAAAGTGGAATGGGAGCCTTAAGGCTCCAATTTAAAAATTAAGCTTGTCCATTTGTTGATGGGCAAGCAGTGAGCCAGTGAAACTGGCTCTTGTTATTCAAGGAGTCAAAATGGATTTACAGCAAACTTTTTATTTATTTATTTAATATAGAGGTGTTTCAAACTATTTATTTAATTATAAACATTGGTCATTAACTAATTCGCGCAATGCTCGTGTAAAACTAGTATAAAATAATGCGTGAGACAGTGTCGGTTTAGATGCATTGTAGTGTCAATTTATATACACTGTAGTTTCAGTTGGTAATTAATACACCAAAAAATACGCGCTCTGTTAACTCTAACGGTGCTGTTTTGACGTGCACCGCAATCCACCATATAACGACCCACAATTGTATTAGGTCAGTTAGATGGATTTCATTTGGGCCTATTTGGTTTCCAATTGGACAGACGTTATGCCATGGAACCGTGTTCACCATTCATGGTGAACACGGTTCTAACGGTGTTAGTACACCGTTATCTTCTTCTTTTTTTTTTTTCTTAATTAATTGCGTGACTTTTCTTCTTTATTTTCACATTTTGCGGTTTCACTTTAATTTGAGGTGAACAAAGATTTCGGACATTCATAAATTATGAATTCATGCATGCACATTCACTTTGGAACCATGCCTACACATTCCCGTCCGAAATCACGGACATTCATAAATTATGAATCCATGCCTGCACATTCACTTTGGAACCATGCCTACACATTCACTTTGGAACCATGAGATTATGAATTTTCTGTTATGAGATTATGAATTTTCAGTTATGAGATTATGAATTTTCTGTTATGCGATTATGAATTTTCTGTTATGAGATTATGAATTTTCATTACATTCATAATTTCGGACATTCATAAATTATGAATTCATGCCTGCACATTCACTTTGGAACCATGCCTACATATTCCCGTCCGAAATTAAGGACATTCATAAATTATGAATCCATGCCTGCACATTCACTTTGGAACCATGCCTACACATTCACTTTGGAACCATGAGATTATGAATTTTCTGTTATAAGATTATGAATTTTCTGTTATGAGATTATGAATTTTCAGTTGTGAGATTATGAATTTTCTGTTATGCGATTATGAATTTTCTGTTATGAGATTATGAATTTTCCTAAAATTCATAATCTCATAACAGAAAATTCATAATTTGATCAAACGCGCGCCGTTAACTCCACATCCGCGATTTTTTTTTTTGGCCTAAAAACGACGTCATTTTGCCTTGTGTTCACCATTCTCGGTGAACACGATTCCATGGCATAATTTGCGCCAATTGGATCAAATTTTGAGTTTTCAAAAGTGGTTCCAAGAGCCCAACCAAAGCAGTTAAGCAATTAGAAAAGACTGGTAATGTTAAGGCAAATTATGTTGTGAGTATGTGCTCACCATGTACATGGTACACACGAATCTATATTCATAATTTTTATAGTGTATATCTATAATTTTTATATTGTATATCCATAAATTTCTAGACTCTCGGTGAGCTAAAATTATGAATCTAAAGTATCAATTTTAGCTCATCGAGAGTCTCGAAATTATAGATATTCAATATAGAAATTATGGATCTATAGTATAGAAATTTTGGATATAGATTCGTGGTTAGAAATTATGAATTTAAAGTATAAATTTTAGCTCGTCGAGAGTAGAAATTATGGATATACAGTATAGAAATTATAGATATATAGTATAAAAATTATGAATATAGATTTATGTGCACCATGCAAGGTGAGCGCATGCTCACAGCATAACGAGTGTTTGTAAAATGTAACAATTTAAGTAGTTATATACTCCTATAATCTCTTAACTCTATGTTGGAATAGTAAATTTAGAGGTTTTATTAAAACACTTTTTAGTTCCTTTAACTTTTGTGTGTGTGTGTGTGTTTTTTTTTTTTTTTTTTTTCATTTGATTATCGATTATCAATTTTTAACATTTAATGCATGATTATCAAATTCATGTCATCTACTTGGCTAGTTGGCTACATTTGATCATCTGGATCAATTTTCTTGCCAATATTGTTTGCAGTGATAGCCTTCCCCTAATCGTATTCTGAGTACAAAATCCGCCATGCCTCATTGCTCTTGCTTCGACCCATTTGTCTTAGCAGTATTCGGTAGCGGGAGTGGACATAGCGGTCTGACAGTTAGTGCCCGTTCTGGCCCATTTCCTCATAGCAAACCCCTCGTACTAGTCGAAGCCTTTGTAAATTTATTGTCGGGTTCTATCGTAGTGGAGGTCGCAAAGACTTGGAGGTTTCAGTTCAATAACAAGGAAGAAAAAAGAGCGAATACCCAAAACATAAGTGTTGTCAGAGTCTATGACGAAGTAATCAACCCTACTGATGCTGACATCAGGCTATTAGCCTTTTATTTGCATATTCCCGACCGGAAGGAGTTCGCTTTGTTTGGAGTTTATGAAATTGAGAACATCACAGTTGAGACTATCGGTCTCACCCAGCAAGATACGGGTCAGCCAAAAAAGGTAAGCGCCTAGGGCTTTTTTATATTTCTTTTCAAAGTAAGGTAATGTATTTTTTTACTAGATATTGATTCAAGCCGCAGCGAAGCCAA